TTGGTGTGATCTTTTATGAATAAAAGATCCTACTGAAGTAAGAAAACTATTGAAATGTGAAACTCTTCAACATCAATGTCGACAGACTATTAAGAATATTTTCATTGGTATGTTTTTCTTGTAATCGTGCTTATAATTGAAATATATTGGGAAAGAAAAGTTTCGGTTTTCTACTTCTCCATCCAGTCTGTATCTGAAAGTTACTTCTCTACACATCTTTGTATAGAGTTAATTTTTTGAATTTGATTGCTTCCTTCCTTATTTTGGGAAATTTCCACATTTTTCTTGTATGCAGATAGAGAATTAGAATGCCAAAACCTTTCTTTCCCGAAAAGTAATACCTCCCAAAAATATACGCCTTTCAATTAAAACATATTGTTATAGTTATTCTGATCTATTTTCGAAATTACTGTTTTTACATTTTCAACTCACTCTCTGATCTACCTCTTATTCACATCATTACGTTTCTGGAATTCCTACTCAAGAAATATTGTTTTATTCGGTTTGTACACAATTGCCGCAAAATGGCGCTGCAAAACTGAGAATACAAAAATAATAACAATACGACTTTATTGGGCAAATAACAATAAAAACATTGATTTTGCAATGTTGGGCAAACATTAGCCTAATGCCACTATTACACTTATTCACTTAAATGTCAAAATGTCATTTTGTATTTATTATTGTAAGAACATTTTTCTCAAGTTGCATGTTGAGAAAGTATTTTGTTGTATGAAAAAGTGTTGTAAAATAATACGGGGATAATAGTCGAAGACAAAGCCTATTATGTGATATTATTATAAGGTAGAGGATTTGGCGAAAATAAAAAAAAGTTTGATTGCAAATTTTTTCACTGAAAGCCTCTGATATTATCTCTGGGATCTCCAACAAATTTTGTGTATAAAAAACAATGTGTTTGCAGTTGTAAAGCAGTATAGCTTCATTTTTTCAAACGTTTTGCAACGTCATTCATTATAGATGTATCAATCGGTGAGAAGGTCGTTAATGAAAACACTATTGTGGTAATGAACATATTGTTACGTTTTTACTCGTGGGATTAGCAATAATTGACTACACTATACAATAATCAAACTCAACATTATTTCACTGTTAATACAACAAAACACTTTAACTAAAACTTTAACCAATATTCAAATTTCTATCGCCTCTGAACCGCACTGTCACTTAAACTTGACTATATCGATATGCTCGTAGGTAACGTTTATATGCAGCAAGCTAACTATCCCGATACCGGTGGAGAATTCCTCAGAAATCCATCGAACTTGATAGAATATTCGTCGGAATTCCATCGAAACGTCACAGACATCGAACAATCGCGAAACGCCAACTGGGCTGCGATCTTGGCCACGCCACTGTTGTTTTACGACGGCCTGCGGCGGCCAAGTTATATTTTTTTTAGGGGATGATACACAAGACTACCACCTTCCCTGAGGTTGTTTGCCCCGAACATTCTAAGAGAGGATATCACGACCCATGTAAGTTTCAGCCTCTCTATGTGAGAGGCTGCTTCTGGGTGACAACTGGATTCTGTACACCAGATCGTTTATCTTTGTGGTAACCAAGGAAGGTCATTGCCATGGTATCTGCAATTAAGGACAAAATTAGGGTGACAACTGGATTCTGTACACCAGATCGTTTATCTTTTTGATTACCAAGGAATGTCTTTGCCATGGTATTTGCAATTAGGGACACAAATCTTTCCGACGTTGGAATTGGTAGAGCCACACTGCATCGTCCTCCTTGAAGCTTACCGGCAGCGACTTTTTGTCAAACCTGTAATTTGGATCTTTCAAATTTGTGTACAATTTCCAGTCTCTCCTTCGGGTCATTCACATACTCTGAAAGAGTTACCTCTTAAGATTCATCGGATGGGCTGCCACACAATACATCTATCGGAAGCTTCAGTTCTCCTGTATGCTAAAAGAAAGAGAAGGAACCAATTTATACCAGATTCTTTGGTTTTCGGAGACAAACATCGCAAGGTAGTATTTATGGTGCGCCTATGCCTCTCAATCATTTCATCTTACTGAGGGTGAAAGCAGTTGTTCTTGCGTTCTTTATTCTGAACAAAGTCATCATTTCCTTCCATTAATCCGATTCGAAATTGCGGCTCTGATCCAAGTGTAGTTCCTGGGGTACCGTGTCTGGCAATTACCTTCTGCTACAGGACTTCTGCCACCGTTTCAGTCTCGTGGTTGGTTAAGGCTACTACTTCAGGCCATTTGGAGAAAAAGTCCATCACAACATAAGGTACTTGTTACCGGATGTTGTCATGGGAAGTGGTCCCAGAATTTCAACTGCGATTCTCTCGAAAGGGCACCTACTGAGGTACTGCTTCAACTTTCCTCTTTGCCTTGTCCTCGGACCCTTTCTCGAAGAGCACAGGTCACAGCGCTTACACCACTCTTCCACGACTCGATGGCAATCCACTCAATAGTGAAGCTGTTCGACTATATTCAGGGTACACGTCTTTGGAAGGATCATCTGGAATTTGTGGGTTCTTCCCATTTCCGAGTGAGTAGGTCATCTCGAATGCACATGGAGTCCCATTGGAGCCAGTAACTCTTTTCTTGCTGGCCTTGCTTGGAAATATCTTGCAATTCCGGCCTCACTTCTTTGTCAATCCATTCTCGTACAGTTTCCAAGACCGGATCATCCCTCTGCGCTATGATGATATCTTGCCTCGTCATGAAAGTAGTGTCACCCTCAGAGATGTTATTGACCGTACCACCGTACGTCTGAGGAATCACCGTAGATTGCTACTCTCCGGATTAGACGAAACCCGAAGCAGCGGGAGGTAGGGGAGCTTATCCCCCTATCAGAGCTGTCCATAAAGGAGTCTGCCCACTACCTTGTTACGTCTCATGGAAAGCTCTTCTCCTGGTAACTGGGTATCTTTGTCCCGGCGTTGACAAAATTTGCATCCGGATGCCAGGCATGGTCTTGAGAGGCTAACTGCGTTTTCGTGACTCTTTACTTTCCGAAGTTTCCTAAAAACCCCTTCAAATTTTTTCCTGAATATTTAGTATTAATTCACCGTCTTCATTTCAGCGAAATCGTTCTTCCTCCCTTCTTAGTTGACGCCAGGCCTGCTTGCAAAGCCTTGAACATTTTTTTAAGTTCTTCCATCTCGTTGAATTCGACTTTCATTGTTTTCGCCATAAAACAGAAAATTATCAGTCAAATATTCCACTTTCGACACCAATTGTTACGTTTTTACCTGTGGGTATACCAATAATTGACCACATAGTACAACAAACTCAACTTTATTTCACTGTTAATAAAACAAAACACTTTAACTAGTATTCAATATCGCTCTGAACCGCACTGTCACTTAAACTTGATTGTATCGATATGCTCGTAGGTGGCGTTTATATACGGCAAACGAACTATCCCGAAACCGGCGAAGAATTCCTGAGATCCATCGATAGAATATTCGTCGGAATTCCATCGATACGGCACATACATTGAAGAACCGTGAACCGCCGGCTGGGCTTCGATCTTGGCTACGTCTCAGTTGTTTTACGAAGGTCAGAGGCGGCCGCGTAATATTTTTTTAGGGATGATTCACATCAATACAATATTTAGCCATGAGAAACCAAAAGTCTTCTGGGTATTTTTTGAGATGAAATGAATCCTTTTTTCAGTCTTCAATAGATTAGATAATTGCTAGTACATCTAATATTTTTGGAAATATACATGAATTTGCTGATTTTGAAGATATGTCTCTGTTTGCTTGTTTTAAATCATAGAGAAAGCTGTGAATAGACATATTTTCTGATACATATTAATTATCAATCAGGCTCACTAAACAATAGTTTTTGGGTTTATCTGTCGTTACGAAGAGATTACTTTAATATTCATGTCAAAGAATGTTGCAATAGATAATGTAACAAGGCATATTTGAATTTGTGAGTACGATTTTTTAAATATTGGCTTTCAAAGTCATATGCATTTTTAAAGACAAACGTGTTTTTACGCTCCGAATAGGAGATAGATGCATGTGATTTTTTCTGCCTGAATATATGAATTATTATTTGGTATAGTTTCAACATAGCCATCGAGGTGAACTTACAAAAAATCATACTTATAACACAAGACATAAAGTTGAATCAGTTCATATTTATGGTTAACGGAAAAACATATTTTAAACAGTTTTTTATATTCCTGAACCTGAAAAAATTTACAGATATTCTTCAATTTTCTAGGTAAAAAAAAGCATTGATGCCAACTACCGTAAACTCCTTTTCATTATAAAAAAAATATATATAACGCTTACAATTTCTTTTGGAAATACATCAATAAATTGATATAAAAACTGTTTTTTTGTGGTGATCATTATTCAGTGTTTTGCTACATTGTACTTACATGTATCTGATTTTTCAAATTTCATTTTATCCAATGCACCAGGTGTTCATATTGTATGTATTCAGAATATTCATTTACGGGAATAACGAATTGGAAATTTTTAAATAAATTGTATGATTATTTGTAATTTTTAATGGAACTGTGGAATTCCATTCGAATATAATTTGTTTTCTGTACTGACAGTTTCACTTAGGAAGTTTGAATATTTCAAAAATCAAAACGATACAATTCAACAATTGATGAAACTCAAAAATGTTTGTCGTCTAAAAACTAGAGTCATTACACGTGTATTAAACTTTAGTTTAGTTTTCTCATAACTCACTTCTTTATCAGATAACGATTCGAAAAGCTAATAATTATCTGAATTATCTCAAGTGGACATTTCAACTCCGCTGTTTTTATCGAGAGATCCGGACATATTTATAGGATAACGAATTCGTTACTTTGCCGTAAAGTAGGTACGTCAACAAAAGCATAATTTGGGTATTTTGGGTGAATAAACTGTACTCTCCTTCTATTAGTTCTTCATTATTTCAATTTTCTGGTATCTACTCATATGAAAAAATATATACTGATTGATTGACAGTTTTTAACATGAAATTGTTGCTTAGGGATCAGCACCAGGAGCACCCAGTCCATATCCACAACAACCCTCAGGGGGAGCACCTTATCCTCATGCAAGTCCCTACCCATCTGGTGGACCTGTTAATCCAAATAGCTTTGGTCTGTCTTCTAATACTCCCATGTACATGCCACAACCTATGCCTATGCCTTCATATCCTCCAAACAGTGGGGGTTTTCCTCCAGCACCTCATTCTCTAGCAAGAAGTGGTTCACAATATCCTCCATCCCCAGGAAGAGGATATCCACCGTCAAGTGGAGGCTATCCACCGTCAAGTGAGGGCTATCCACCGTCAAGTGGAGGCTATCCACCAGCCAGTGGAGGTTATCCACCGAGTGGTGGAAGCCACCCACCATCCAGTGGAGGCTATCCACCGAGTGGTGGAGGCCACCCTCCATCCAGTGGAGGCTATCCACCGAGTGGTGGAGGTCACCCTCCATCCAGTGGAGGGTATCCACCGAGTGGTGGAGGTCATCCCCCATCCAGTGGTGGTTACCCTTCTCATGGAGGATATCCTCCTTCCCATCATGCTCCTGGTGCTCCTCCTTCTGGATCACACAATTATTCTGGAAAAGGATCTCAAGGGCCTTATGGAGGTTTCTCGTATACTCAGCATAGTGCCCCTCAGATGACTCAGGGTCATGTTACTTCTAAAAATAAGGTAGTGTAAAAGTTGTTTGCTTTGAATTAGATTTTCAGAAATGATTCCATATTTGCGTTTGCATATGTATTGGAATTAGTGTTGAAATTAGTCTGACTTTTTTATATATTCATCGAATTGATACAATATTTGTAGTTATTTTTGAGGGAGGCATTTTGTAGGCAAGTTCGTAAGGAGATGACAGCTGATTAACGGAAAAGCACATTTTTTAAAGTAATGTTGCAATGTGATGAACACAATTTTTGTAACTACTCACGGTTTTCTTTCGTTAGTATAGTCTTTCATTTTTTCTGTTATGCTTTCAGACAGTTACCAAAGTTATTGTCTATGTCCCGATGAATGAAAATAAATGAATGTACTTATCGAGATTGAAGTAACCTAGCTTTCAAAACAATAACGCATGACAAAAATTATGTTATATTTGCAGAAAACTAATAGTCTGGCAAGAATAAATTTTAATCCACCGTGTTGAAGATCCATTTCATGTTCGGTATTGATACTTCCAAAAGATACTGAGATCAATGAGATATAATATATTGAGAGCGATACTTCTTGATCAGAAAGACAATAGTGTGACATCAACCGTCGTCGAGAGAACGCTGCCACTTTTTTTAATGGAAAGGGGTGTCTTTATTACTCGTTTGATAGGTATTTTAATTCTCTAGCTAATACTTTTCTATTGTTGGGAATTGAATTAGAGGTTTCCGAGTAATTAGCAGGTTTATATTCATTTTGAGAATCTACAAACAACCCATAAATATTCTTATTTCAAGAAAAAAATATTCAAAACCCATTTTAGTTCATTTCAATATATATTCAAAATGTTTATCATTCACTTTATAATGAATTCTATTTACATTTTTTCCTATATTATGAAATGTCCCTGGGGTAATTTCGTTGCAGGCACAATTCTTTCTATCGAAAGAACTCGACTCCACGAGTTCTGAAATGAATTGCAATTGTGTATTGTGCACTTCAGATTTCACGTGTTACCTCAAAAAACATAGGGGCGTCATATCCGGTGATCTCGTGGGCACTTCTAAGGTATCACGTTTGCATATTTGGAAAATTGTCAAATCTGAATGAGTTCTCAACTAGTATTAGATTTTAGCAGATAACAATTATTTAAAGCAGTAAATAGTCGAACGTGGTCCCTGAGAATTACCTGCTGCATTACCTGATATGACACCCTTAGCTTTTTGTGAGGATTGGTAAAATCTAAAGTTTACGTTACACAACCGCAGTCTACTCCAGACCTTATGGTTGGAATGAGAGGTGCTCCTTAAGAAATGGTCCCAGAAACATTCCATAATACTACTAGAAATACTACTCTTTTAAAAATGTCTGATGAATCCATTTACAATGCGAAAAATTGGTTTACCGCCAACTTTATGCAATTAAATTATCAGTGGAGTCAAAAATTAATAATTTCAAGTAACAACAGCTATACAACAGGTGAACATTGCAAACTTCTCGATATTACAATCGATGACTTTCTCAATTGGTATATGCATACAGAAAATTTAAATACACGAACTCCATAAATTTCAAACTTCATTAGAAGTTGGCTTCAGAGATGCATTCACTGAATAATATTAAATTCGAAACAGCTATTAGAGATATACCTACTTTTAGACCATTGTTTTTATAGTATTGATGAATTTTTTAAACAATTAATCTATTGATTACTAATATATTAAGCAAAAATCATTCACTTGTATATTCATATTTGTGAACTTATTCTAATGTGTACGTAATATTATATTGTAATGTACTTTCAAATCTAAAAGTTATGAAATTTTTTATCAGTTTATATATTACACCTCTCTCTATGACTATTTTCTATGTATGACATGCTGTGAACTTATTGTAGAACAGTAAAATAAATGAATCTATCTATCTATCTACTAAAAATGATACCTTCTCACGTACATTTTGTACGACATTGATATTTCTTAATATCAGTAGTCTTTCTATTGAATATAGGTTACCTACCTCAGAAGAATTTTTTAAAACTGATGACATCACTAAAAACCAAGAGGTCCCAAAATGATAATGAATCAAAATCTAGATATATCAAATGAGAAAATATTTCATTTAGTGAAATAAACATTTATTCAAATTAATGCACTCATTATCACATGGAAAATCATCTCATAGAAAACATGATATGGGGCCAAATGGTCATTGATGATTCCGAATACATTGGCCAACAGATACTAGACTATGAAACATTAAATAGGCTAAGGAATTAAAAAATGATGCAACTTGGTACGCAAAGCATATGTGTGAATCACAATATTTATTACAAATGGTAATAAAATGCGAGGTTGTATCATGTTGTGTGCGACGATCGAGCCTTTGGCGACTCTTACGAGAGGGGTTTTACCATTATCTGTTTCAATTAATCAGCGGGTATGTAACCATAGAAAAATACGACTCCGAAATTAAATTCCCTTCACCCTAGCTTTGGATCTCCATTCAACATCACATTTGAAGCAACTTCCGTATGATAGCTATCGCCCCAGTGTCGAGGCATACTTATTTAAGCGATCATGTGGTCTATATTTTGCATCACACAAGGCAACTAATCAAGACAAGCAATTACAAAGAAATAACAAGAAATTTTGCCCATCACGAAGATTGGTCCTCAAAGAATTGCTGCTAGAAGTGCCAGAAAAATTCTTTGTTTGTATGATGACGATAATGCTGTATGGTTAGATGTTGACAACGAATGTTCCTGACATTATTAATTTCTTGAAATGTTTGATTTGATGTTAATTTTATCAAAAAATTATGTAAATTGAAATAAAACAAATTTTGGAACATCTGTTCTGATCCAATAATTATTTCTAGATATAAAATTGTAAAATATGTGGCGTTACTCTAGGGAGAGGGGGTCTCACAAATGTGACCAGCTGTGACAAAGACGAGGGGGTCAAAAATACTGAAATTCGTGGGACGTAAATTTATGGATGGCCCTTATGGCAAGTTGAATAATTTGATATTTTAATTACTACCTATCACATTTCATCGAAAGTGCTTATTTATTCCAATATACATTAAAAGTTTGCGAAATGTGTTCTATGTTTACTCTTAAAAGTATGGGGAAACATCAAAAAGCGTATTTGAATTGTGTGAAGTCATTTACCTTCAAACAAAAATAGAAATGATTCATTTGTATTTCCATAATAAAAAAAAAGAATAATTTGTTCCATTCAACGTTAATTGAAAGGACCATACGTGTAATATTAAAATATAGATAAATATCAAAGTTTCCCAATGGAAAATATTGAAAATACGTAAAAACCCGTTATTAACAATAACGTTATACCTAGTCAATTAGTTTATAGTTGTTCAATCCGGGAGTTATTGCAAAATAACGCAATATACTTTTATTATGCAAATTTCGAAAGAAATAAATGCATTTTTAAAATTGACATAACTCCATTAGAATTCAAATGTAAATAAGAACTCTATCACTAACGCTATGTATGTTGATAAAGAGTTTTTTTCAACATTCCCGTTGAAAGTGATATGAATATTATCTTAAACATTCGTAACATATGCAAATCACAATTTTTATCGGTAAACAGGGTGTCTGGATGTGAATGACAGATTTTCAATTCAAGGTGGAAATTTAATTCATATTTGATTTCTCGAAAATCAAAATAAAATATACAAATTGTAAAAATGTTGACTTTACGTCTCTTCCTTTGTTTTCAGAGAACTCCTACAGTTGTTCCTGCTCATCCCTTCGACCCTCGAGCAGACGCAGAAATTCTTAGAAAAGCCATGAAGGGTTTCGGAACTGACGAAAAGGCCATCATCAATGTTTTAACCAAACGAACCAATGATCAGAGATTTTGATCAGAGATTGCAAATAGCTATTCAGTTCAAGACATTATATGGAAAGGTAGGAAATTACATTTACACTGAGTTTTGAATGGAATAGTTGAATTAATATCCTTTCTAAAGGACTACAAAAATGAAACCAATAATTGTTCAGAAATGTAATACATTTGCTGGTATATTTTATTTGGGAACTATATTTTCAAATTCAATATTACTTTCCGTTAATCATCTACAAAGTGTTCATCATGTCATTTTTCTCAAACTTTTCAATTTTCAACATTTGAATATCATTTATTTTTAATGTTTCCTCTAGAATTGTAATGTTTCCCTGGCCCAAAATAATGGTTTGTACGATCAGCATTTCCATTAAAAACCCAACTGAAAGAATTATCATAACCGAAATGTATAAACTTTTTAAATCGCTAAAATAGAGTACAAATTTTTCAAGTTTCAAATGTTATTTAGAGTATTCATTTCCTGTTCAAGAAATAGAAATGAACTAACTCTAGGTTTGATTGTAATATTTACGTTACTCTATATTTTGAGATTTTCACTGTTAGGAATCACACGTTAAAAGGTAAGACCTCGTTAGTTCTTAGCTCGCACAAGCTTCTCAACTTCTGAGAGTTGTCGTTCGTATGGGAGCAACAGCTGATTACCGGAAAAACAGATATTTTTTTTAAACAGACAGAACAATCTACAAATTTATTTCCTGTTCAAGAAATAGAAATGAACTAACTCTAGGTTTGATTGTAATATTTACGTAACTCTATATTTTGAGATTTTCACTGTTAGGAATCACACGTTAAAAGGTAAGACCTCGTTAGTCCTTAGCTCGCACAAGTTTCTCAACTTCTGAGAGTTGTCGTTCGTATGGTAGCGTAAGCTGATTACCGGAAAAACAGATATTTTTTTTAAACAGACAGAATAATTCACAAAACCACACAAGCGTTTCACTACACAATTGCTTCCTCATGTGTATTCATACAGTATGAACACACCGGATTTCGAATAGATTACATTGAAATTTGGGATAATGAAATGAATGCATGAATACTTTATTTTGAAGTGAAATTGACAGATGAAGCTTTCAAGATGGCGACTGGACGCCATCTGAGAAAAAAAAAATAAATGGAAAGGGGGGGGTCTTGTGTTGACAAATGCTTCACAACCCTAGAATATAATGTCAATATCTTCAACTACTACAAAATGGCGAAACTTTGAATAATTACCTGAATACATTGACATTTAACTACATAATATGAAGTACCTAATAAGCTTGACGTCAATATCTCTACAAATATTTATTATTCTTCGCCGTATATCCAATATTCAGGCAGGTTCAGTTTCGTACACCTTTTGCTTCAAATATCCCCCATAAAAAAGTCCAGAGGTGCCAAATCTGGCGAGCAAGTTGGCCATCTGTAGGACCTCGACGGCCAATCCAACGACCGGGAAAAGTAGTATCCAAATAGTTTCTTACTTGTCTGGAGTAATGTGATGGTGCTCCATCTTGTTGGAATACAATATCCATATCGAGTTCATTAGGATTCGCTTCGACGATTTCAGTGATGAGAGGGTCAACAGTAGTTTCCAGCATATTCAAATACTGTTCCCCTGTAAAATTTTGATCAATATGGTTTCCCGGAAAACGTAAGGGTTGGTGTCACTCCAATAACGGCAATTTTATCTGTGAACATTGTCGTTTAAAAAAAATGAACATTCTTCACTAAAACAAATATTGTGGAGATAGGTAGGATGCCTTGCAATGGTTTCCGTCATGATTTCGCATAATTATGTTCGTCGATCAGGGACATCTTCAGTTAATTGGTGTACCATTTTAATTTTGTATATGTCATTAAAGGAATGCACTGTATAGGAAACATTGCAGAAGTTTTTCATTTCCTCTTCACTCTAAAATATCAGGTTTCTACTATGCATACCTAATTGAACATGTTTGAAGAGTTTTGTAATCAAGTCTTGATTAAAGTTCACAAGTCTTTGTGTCTAACAAATGAATTGAAGAAGTATGTACAATTTGTTGTCTATATTTGATAATTGGCAATAGTAAACAATCAGATGAAATTGAGAATTTCTGACATGGCACTCAAAAGTATCGAATGTGAGTGTGAAGGAACTAGTAATTGTTGCACAATCACAAAAAATTAAATTCTGTATGTAATCTGAAATATTATATTAGAATTTTGTCAATCAAATTTTTTCAATGAAATGGGGCAACGCTAATAAATAGTATACACGTTTTTCAATGTGACACATCATATCTATTTGTCCTTAGGATGATGTTATCTAGAAACTTTCATCAACTCTTAAAAACTAACTCAGATAATGATCTACTCAAAAATTGTCATTTAATTCATACATATAAATATTGTCTTAAAAAAAATGTTAATTTTGTATGATTCCAAACAAAATTTTGGAGTATATCACATTTTAAGTACGTAGTAGTGTCATCACTGAATTGTAAAGTGGAAGTCTATCATTTTATGCATAGTTACTGTATAAAATAATGAGCATATTTTCATTGGAACAAAAGTATACACAAATTCACATTGCTATCTGATAAAGACAGCATATGATAAAAATATTATTTTCTGTCTGTAGGACATTATGTATCGAATTATTAAACCTTCTATAACTCTTGAAGATTTCAGTAGAGTTATGGTATGAAAATCAAAAAAAAAAAAACATTGAAAATAGAAATGAAAAATAAATTATTATTGCAACTCGAATAAATATTCACAAATTTTATAAATCGCCCACTGGAGAACCGTCCCGGCTTTGCATGGTTGCAGAACATCCTCCAGTCCCTGGAGAGGCCTGCAGTCTAGCAACCCCCCTCTTCCATGTACACTTAAGAAAATGTCAGTGACAAATTGGATTAGGCTGTTCTAATAGTATGTTGATTCATTCAAATTTATTCTGTCAAGATATTTCTATAACTTTATAAATTCAAATATTCAAATTCACTTCCAATTCGTTGAAAATCGGTCATTTGATCGTTTTTATTTTTTACTTTCGCAAATATTTCGTATTGAAATTTCTTAGGGGTTTCCTGAATGGGCAGAAGAAGCATTATGAATAAATAAAAATAATTAAAAAAATATGTGATGGAAATGGCCGATAATTAATAAAAATCCATAATGTATTCAATTAACACTTTACTGTAAATTTTTCGCTGAACAGTTTACAAAACTGCAACACATGTTTTGCTGTAGGTACAAGTATATATGAACACGCCTGATGAAATTATTTCATAGCGAAACGTGTTGCGGTTTCGTAAACTGATTAGTGTTTTCTGTTCAAAATTATTGACGTGAGGTTTGTTATGAAGGGGGTGGCTGACAAGGGGTTTATGTACAAATATTTCCCTCTGAAAACTAAAGTTGACTTGTTTCGCGAATTTTTTACAATCTCAATATCAAATGACTCATTCAGGTTGGACCGTGTCAACTGGAGTGTACTGTATAGTAAAGAAGTTTTTTAAACTAATCATTATTTTTTCAAATACATTTCTAGTTCTGATATTGTTGCATGGATCGTTGAAAATAAATGATAACAATTAATTTAATACAAGTACCCTTGATACGTGTGATATGTCAGTAGAAACAAAAACTTGAATTAAAAAAATATTCGTAAACAACTTCTCAATCAATATTTCTGTTAGAAAATATGCTACTTTATTGAATATTTTCAAAAATCACAATACCACTCAAAAATCTATGCAACTTTTAAATACCCTTAGTAAAGTAACTATTTCAATTGAGTACAAAAAATGTTCTCGTCTTGATTCAAGAGTAACTTCCATCATGTATCGTTGTAATGCTTCACCGACATCGTAGAGGAAAGCATTGACGCTTTCTAATACTATAAAGCAACAAGTGACGCAAAATATAATGAAGTCCAATCACATTCAAAATTTTAGCGTCTTCGAATTTCAAGTACTTAACAATATAAAATTTTTACTTTTTCATTTTCAGGATTTGATAAAAGATCTGAAGAGTGAGTTGAGTGGTAATTTCGAAAACTTGGTTGTTGCCATGATGACACCTCTACCAGAATTCTATGCCAAAGAATTACACGATGCCATGAGTGGTGTGGGTACCGATGAAGATGTGCTCATAGAAGTGTTGTGCACCATGTCTAATAACGAGATTAGAACCATTCGACAAGCATATCATTCAAGTGAGTCAGTGTTATTTGAATTTTCTCTCAATTACTGCATTTAATTTCAATGTGATAAGTATTCTTCAAAAAACAAACTGTCCTGATAAGTAATTGTAAAAATACATTAAATACATTTTTTCATTTATATAACTATATAAATGTGAAAACTTCATCAACGTCTTATCTACACCAATTGACATAAAAATCAATTTTTATTTTGATAAGCTAGATTTTAATGTGGTATAAATGAGATTTGTGGTTTATCTGATCATCCAAAATATTTCCAATTTGTGGTGGTATGGAAAATTTTAATATATCTTGAAGGTTCACATAACCTTTTTTTGTTCCTTGACCACACATTTATAAATACCCACGGTGCATACATAGATAGTAGAAGAATATTTGAAAAATCTGAAAATTCAAGTTGATTTTTTAACATTTATATTACATAATAATAGCATTTGAAACGAATTTTGTTAAACTCAAAAAGTCGAAATTCAGAAAAGTTCTGATATCCTTAATGAACTTATGATGCACTGTTTGGAACCTTTGGTGTAGTGATGAATATTACTGGAGTTTCTTCCCAACACCAAACCGTTATTTTAACACCTCGACACGTGTTTTGATTACCATGTTCATCTTCAAGAGGAAGATCAGTTTGATCTTCCCCTTGATGTTGGGAAAAACCTCCAGTAAAATTCATCCTTCATGAAATTGCAATTTGCCAGTTTTACTTAATTTAGGTAATGAATACTTCAATTTCATATTTTGTAACTTCGCTAAATAAGATTATTAAGTTATTCAGAATCTATACTTTGTTTTTATGCCTGTGTGGGCCATAAAGTATGTAATTGGAAACTTAGAAAACACAATAATGAACCAGTATGACATAGAAGTTTTCAACAATTTGCCTCTAATACTGATAGTTCAATAAGGAAAAACAAGTAAATCCAAATGAAAGTTCAGTTCAAAATATCCTTTCTGGTTTCATTTGAATGACAATTCAATTGTTACCAGTTCGGACCTTCGTTGTCTAAAAATATTTGTAATCTTTGGAAGAACAAATGAAATGAAGATAATAGCATGTTAAAATTATTGAAAATACTGAAAGTAACGTAAAGCCACACTAAGGAAATGCATCATATGGTAACCACCTCTAATCAGACAGGAAAACAGCCTACGTTGCACCGAACGGGAAACTGAGAGGATACAGAGAATAGTAGGGAGAAGTGAAAGCTTCCAATAGACTTATAAATAGTCTCAAGAATCAGTAATCAGCTAGCTATCCTGAATTCTGTCAAATGTAGTAAAGTAACTTTGAACTATTTTCTTATTTTTCATTTTTTGCATTTTTCATCATTCAAATTAATTATTTTTTTGTATTTTGTGTATATAATTGAAACTCTATTAATTGTTTAAGCCAGTTATTGAATCATTTTCATTTCAAATCACACTAATTTGATTTCTTCACAAATAAGCATTCTTACAATTTTGTTTTGAATTGTTATACTAATTGCTCATTTTGTCCCCTACTTGACATTTTTTTGTTTCAACTAACTCATCCGAATGTATCGGTTCCGTTATTTATAGTATTTTCAATAATTTTAACATTTTATTAAACAACGGGAAATAATCTTCATAATAAATTCACCAAGAATCATTGTCAATCTCTGTCGAACAGATGATTTTAATGTCAAAAACGTCCATACCTTGAATTCTATATTGTTATTCATCATTAATCCGAAAACATAACTAGATTTTCCAGAACGTTTATTTCAAACTGAAGAAGAATCGTCTGTATGATTTGTAGATAGTATTTTGTCCTCTAATACAAGATAATATATCATACAAAAACCAGTGAAACAATTTACATATTTTGAATGAGACATCATGAAATAAGATATTAAAAATCATTAAATTGCAACACACAACATTATCATTTCATAATGTGGGTGTTACAAGTATGATTTTTAATAATTTCATCACCTAATTCTGCTATTTTTTATATAACTAAAATATAATACTTTATGTAGTGTTGAGCGAATAAAAGGAACCAAATAAACATATCCGAAATAGTGTTATGAAATATTGGCTATTGGATAAAACTGTCAACCTATTGTGAATATTTTTAACAAAGTTGAATTTTCGGTGAGATCAGAAGAAATTTATTTGTATTGCAAAGTTTTCAATAAATTACAATTTATTTAATTTAATTCTGAATATAACATTTTTCACAGATACAAAATAAAAGGCTTCAATTATTGTAGCACAAGATATAGAGACCTAATACCCAATATGAAAATTTTTATAGTAGGGACAGTTATCAAAATAAGTGGCATAGTTTAAAATTTACGTTTAGATACAGAAAAATTAATCTTGTTTCAGCTAATACTATATTTTTTATTAGTAAGTTTTGATATGGATTTCCATCAAGTATTGGCCAGTTCCATTCAATATATTAGCTGTGATGATATGATGTGATTTAATTGTTTTTTAAATGGTTGAATTGCACAAAAGATATACCAAAAATTGCTTGGGTGATTTTTTCAATATTCTATATAAAAGTATATTTTGATGAAATTATGTCACCTTCAAGATTCAAAAAATCATATAATTCTATTCCATGTTAGGAATCACACGTTAAAAGGTAAGACCTCGATAGACCTTAGCTCGCACAAGTTTCGACTTCTGAGGGTTGTCGTTCGTATAGGTGCGACAGCTAGTTAACGGAAAAACATACTTTATGTATATATTTTATTTGTATTCAAGTCTTAGTCGTTTGGAAAATACAATAATGGAAAACTTGATTTCTGTAAGCTTACCAGACTGGATTTTGTCCTCTCCAAACCTGACTCTGGCCGTGAAAGAATATGTTGTTATAGTCTGAATTTGGTTCATAGTCAGTTAAAATCTGCCAAAAAAAGCAATATGTGTTAAAAACGCTTTATTTTCTGACAAGATCACCACTTCTAAATATAATGTATCGTTAGGTATAGTTCACCTACAGATGTGAAAGTTGCTGCGGTCATTAAGGAGGCAATTTTGCAGATTGAACATGTGACAACCTCAAAATTCACCTATCTACTGGAATCTCGTCAGAATGACTTTATGGCTGCCGTAGGGGCATCTAACAAGTTTGCAAAGAAAAAATTAATTTTAAAAAGGATGCCATTCGGGCATTTAAAACACGTATCTATCCATCAAACTTCATTTATTCAATTTCCCTTAAAAAAAAACTTGGATATATACTTGGTTCCACATATTTGCCAGTCATCATATATCCCCCAACAGATAGTCTAAAAATAAATCTTGTCGTTAAAAATTATGATCCAGAGAGTGTAGGAAATTTATCCTTCATTTTTAATTACAATATTTCAACTTACAACTCAAATATCACTCTCATTCTTGCTACTGTGATTGGTGATGATACTATATGATTATTTTAGTGATGAGTTTAACAATAAAATATTAGTAAAATTTTAGCCTTATACTCTTCATTTAGCAGAATTCTTTTCCCAGGCGCCAGTTATATGTAATCAATTTACATAACTTTGAATTGAGCAACATAAGAACTTCCTTACTAACTTTCCAGCAATTTTAACGCTTTTTCTTTGAGAGTGTTCACTTAGTGTGAATTGAAAGTTATTTTGTGAATTTGTGTTATTTACAGTGTATTACAAACCCCTCGAAAGTGACCTAAAAGGCGATACAGGTGGTACGTTCAAACGACTAATGGTCTCCCTTTGCAATGCTTGCAGAGATGAAAGCATGGTCACGGATCACCAAAAAGCAGCTGCAGACGCCCAAGCATTGCTTCGAGCTGGAGAATTGCGATTTGGAACTGACGAATCTACCTTCAACATGATATTGTGTCAGCGCAATGTCGCACAGCTACAACTCACCTTTCAAGAGTATCAACGTATAACAGGTCATGACATTGAGCAGGCCATTAAAAATGAATTTTCGGGAGACTGTGAGGAAGGCTTTCTTGCTGTTGTAAGATCTATAAAGAATAAAGCAGCTTTCTTTGCCAAAATGTTGAATAAGAGTATGAAAGGATTAGGGACCAATGATTCACAGTTGATCAGAATAGTAGTGACCAGGTCTGAGATTGATATGGGTGAAGTGAAGAGGGAATACCAATCAAAATATGGAGAGTCTTTGGCTGAAGCAATCAAGGTAAGTCGTAATCGGGATATTTGCTAACGTTTACTTACTGGTTTATGATTTTAGGGTGACTGTTCCGGCCATTACAAGAAATGCTTGTTAGCTCTCATTGGCGAGTCTTCTTAAATATCTGTTTCGAGAAAGATAGGAATTGAATCTCATAAAATATAAATTATATAGAGTAAATCGACTCTTTTTTGTATATGTTTATGTTTTATATACGTTTATTTAAAAATAAGTAGTATTCAACAAATATTCCAATGTTTTATGCTTAGTTCTATATATATTCGCAGAATGATTCAACAATTTTTAAAGACATTAATTATTTTTTCAATTTGTGCTTTTTTCTCATGTGAATAAATCTCTGTACTCTTATTATTGAAATGTTTCATTTATTTGCAAGTCGGTATATTTGATTACTTTCATTGAACATGTAAATATGTACAGTGTTAATAACAGGGGATACATACAATGCAGTGTCAGTGTAAACTTGGTTGCAAATATTGACATAATATATCTTGCCTTTGTTGACATACTTTGGCAAAAGTAAATTTATCTCGTTGGTTTTATATTCAAATAATTTGACAAAATTAGAAATTTGAAACATCAATAATGGAAACTGTGACTCAGTTTATCTCTATTCCTTTCATATTTTCAGTCAAATTTTTCTTTATATGGGGTTTCACAAAACGGAAAATACAGAGATATAAGATAAACTTGAAAACAATATTTTATTGTCTTCAATTACTAGAATAATGGTCAGTTATACAGTTATATTCCTCAACTTGATACAAATTATAAATACATAGAGATCGGTGTTATAATGCATTTGAAGATAAAGAGGTCATACTTATTGAAAAACATTTAATCTTGACATTTTTACATAAACTGTTCACAAAACCTCAACATATGCCATGCCTGATATTTTATTAGGCACACCTGTAGAAAGTATTGTATATATAGTCCAATAAATAGGCATCAAAATAAAGGGGGTTTACTTGCAAAAAGGTTTGGTTCTAAAATGTTGTATGCGTTATTTAAGATGGTTGATAAGGCATTGAATGCAAAATACACAATTTTCTCCCTACACGCTTACCACCATCTGAAAAAAAAAAAATTAAAAAAGGCCACTTTTTTCAGACCTGGGGCTTATATTTTTTTTGGTCCATTTCAGCGGCAAAATTATATTTGTAAAAAGTATAATTTTTATATAACATCGGTACCTGAATTTTTTCTATGACTAATATTTTCAGAAAGGTGCACTTGAAAAAATTTTAGAAAATCGTTCTTTTCAAAAAATGTGTCCAAATTCTAACTTTAGGAGGCTTCATCTCAGTTCTAGCATCTTTCAGGTCAACATGTCTCTAAAAAAAGTGTTTACAAAAAGAGTCATCAGGAAATGATGCTAATTTTATCTAAATCTACAGAAGCTTTTTGACGAAAATGAAGGCCCCAATTTCATAAACTTGCCCCCTACTCGAGCAAGGAGTGTATAAATTTGTTTCCTTTCAGTTCTTATCTCATTTACAACAGGTTTTTGTTTGACTATCTTCCATTGTTCGAATATATCTGCTAATTTGATGGGTTATTTGAACGTCCCCTCTCACCAATAGTTTTTAAATAATGTTTCTCAGCAGCACATATGAATATCAATCTTGTATATTTCTTCTACATGGTTTAAATAATTTGAAGCATATAAAAAACACTTTGTTTCATAGTACCCACAATCATGTAACCAAACTAAATTATTATACCAGGAGTGACGTTTTCCTGTGGTAAGAATCCAATTGCAGTGAAATATGTTGAATGTATGTATGGGTGGGATTGCTGACTGTTGTTTTGTTATATCTGTTACTGTTTTTCGTTTGATATTTTTGCCTCCAGAAATTATGGGAGATCTAAAAATTCGTTTTAAAAAACCACAGAATATTTTCTTACTGAAATTACTTTTTACTGGCATTTATATGATCGGTGAAAGTAAGGAACACCTTGTACTTCAATAGAATCTAGTGATGAATTGGGATGGTTGAAGGATACATCACGAATGTGTTGCCACATTGATTTTTCCGGTTGATACCATGCCAGTTGAAAATGATCCATTCTCGAGTTTATTTCAAGCTCAGTTATCCAAACTCAAAAGAACTACCTACATCATCAGGTGAATTCTCAAATTAGCCAGAATATCGGTGATTTTAGATTCAAGTACAAAGCGGAAAAATAACAAAAGCCACTAAGGATACTAGAACAATATACTTTTTATTTCAGTGCATTATTATTACAATTCAACTTAAAAATGTAAGTTATATTTTAGGAATCATTCCTGTTTCACGTCAGCTGAACGAATAAAAAAAAAGAAATCCTTAGATTTTCTGAAGAACAAGTTCTTACATACTTACATTTGTCATACAATGAAAAAGTAAATTTTTAAAATGGGACACAAGTCAACATGGATGTTGTCAGATGTACCTGAATTTTGTGAACGGCCAGCATTTCCTATAAGACATTAAAGGGAGATGAAAGTAAATCAGACTCGATTTCCTAAAATTTCGTTAATTACAACAGTCAAAGCACTTGACCATACTGGATTAAAAAATATCAGTAATATTTGTTTCATGAACAGTATAATTCAATGATATTCCAAGATGGTTGTGCTAAGAGTATCGGTCATCAATGGTTCAGCTGTCGTGTAGTAATTCTGAAACAGCTGAACCAATTTAGACCAACCAATTTATGACACTAATGAATAATCTCAATAGATACATACAGTTCGCAATGGAAACAGAGATAGAAAAACAGATTAATTTCTTAGACCTGACCATCACACATTATCATAATAAATTTGAGTGCAATGTATTCAGAAAACCAAGCTATACAGACATTACAATCCCAAGTGATTCTTTCCATCCCGACAGTCATAAATTAGCAGCCTACAATTCAATGTTACACAGAGCATTCTCGTTACCTTTGTCTGTTAACAATCTGGATAGGGATATTAAAACAATTATACAGATAGGACAGAATAATGGTTCAACACTGACATAAACCAGAAGCTACTCAGAAAACAAAGTCTCAAATTCACATATAGAATAATATACTTCCAGATCCAAAAATCAGAAATCAAGAAATTTGTAATTATCGCAAAAATTTAAAACACCAGAAAAAATTATGCCAAAAATGATGCAAAGTTGATACAGTTTTTAAAAACAGATAAATATTTCACTTTATTTCTACTTTTTGCGAAATAGCTAATTAAAATAGCATAATTAAAAAACAATATCAATGAAGAGTCAATAATTTATTCTTTACTGCACTTTTCAAACAGTTGAACTTTGATTTACTGCGAGCGCTTTCGATAGCTGGTCGTGCTGTCATCCTCTAGGCCCTACTCTATTTCAACGTGTCATCCTGTTGTGTGTCCTTTTATACGGTCCGAACGCCTCAATACGGGTACTTCAGGTACTTTAGGTAAACTTGCCTGTATTTGGATTACATCAGGTCCTATTCTTTGTGTTGGATCTTCTCTAGGTTTATTGTTTCTAGGACCTAGAGAAGATCCAACACAAAGAATAGTACCTGATGTAATCCAAATACAAGCAAGTTCACCTAAAGTACCTGAAGTACCTGTATTGAGGCGTTCGGACTGTATAAAAGGACACACACCAGGATGACACGTTCAGATAGAGTAGGGCCTAGAGGATGGCAGCACTAGCAGCTGTCGAAAGCGCTCGCAGATAATTAAATAGACGTTATAGAGCTTCAAATCCTTTTTGTAACTTACATTAATAGTAAAATATTGAAAATGAAGGATTTGAAGCTTTATTACTTCTATTTAATTATAAGCGAGCGCTTTCGACAGCTGGTCGTGCTATCATCATCTAGACTCTACTCAAACTAAAGTTTGAGGCTAGGCTCTACTCAAACTCAAGTTTAAGTAGAGCCTACCTACTAAAATATGATAGAGAAAATAAAAGATCTAGTAATTCGAGTATTATTCAGAATTTTCCCACTTGACATTGTCATTCAAATTTTGAACAACTGTCATCATTTAATGTTTTTTCTATCTGTTGTTGAACCATTTTATATTTTATTTTCACGTTAGTAAGTTCTCCATGTACAGGGTGTCCCTGGACTTCCTCTTTTCCTCTCGGGAATGTATAGATGGGGTCAAAATATCACCAGTACTTCATATAACATTTGGTATATAAAGTCTTCGTAACCAAGTTACGGGCCCTCGAAGTTACAAAATGAAAAATGTTTTTCTTTGATAACTTTTCAAGTGAATATTCAAAATCATCCAAATTTTGGTAATTGACTAAACAAATGAATTCCTTCGATGAGCTTTCATGCAGGAGTCAGTTGTTTTGCTACAAAGTCAGGAACGGACTACTCCCGATGGTCCACACCCCAAAACTTTGAAATGACAGATATTTTTCAATATTTTTCAACAAAAT